TAGTTGAATAGCGTAATTTGCACAGATTGCTGTTCGAGGCGATAAATGTTATCGGCCGTCTCATCCAGATATGTTTTCTTAACATATGTTATTGACTTTTGTGCGTTATCTTTATGTGGACTCGGCGGTTCCGACATGCGAAATAACTACAACAACAGCAAAGAAAACTTAAGTACTTATGGTTGGGAACGAAAGAATTTTTCGACTTGGACGGCACACGCACAGCGTGTATGATTGTTGTTGTTGTTGTTGTTTTATTATAATTGGATATTAATGATGGTTATAAAGCAATATATATTCCCTGTGTTATCTTACTCTTACCTAATCGAACGTAAAGACTTGGTGTTAGAAAATATGCTTGTACCTACGAATTTCATTGTCCACTTTAATCTTAAATGAAGTTATTAAATTCCAATATCATGGAAAATATCGATCAAAAAAGTCATAGACTAATCCTAAAGTTTTGAGTTTGTTCCCCGGTTAAATGCTTAACATTCTAAGGGTATCGATAACAGACCACTGATTTGCTATTGATCCCGATAAAATATATAATCCATATGAGCGTATAAAAAAATCAAGGGCTGTTTGAATATGTCTGTGGTAATCATTCCAATTGTTGAAGGAATCGGCGTACATGTCTAACATTTTGCTCGAACCATATTACAGGGTGAGATGAAAAACCTGCAACCAAATGCAGACTGCTGTCATTTCTAAGCCACTCGTCCGACAGCTGTTAAAATTATTCCGGCGACAGATCATTATATTGTTTACAAGCGTACAAAAGCATTTTGGTGAGAATTTTCAAGAAAAAAAAGTTATTCGTGATGGAATTCAAGCGTGATAGTGTGATTTCTTTATATTTGGCTGGAACACCACAAGTGGCTATCGTTAGAGCACTCCAGCATTTCAATGTGAATAAATCTTTTGTGTCTCGTTCCATCGCAGCAAAATAATCATGTTTACTTGCCAAAGAGGTCAGCTGAAAATGTGCACCTTCGGTTAGCAACCAGAACTCAAGCGCCGGCCATGGTGATGGTGTGGGCCCCCATAACAGCCGATGGTGGCTCTCCGCTCGTATTAATCGACCGTGAAAATATTCTGGAGGATGTATTAAAGCCTTGGACACACAAACATTTTGGCCGCAGACCTTGGACATTCCAAAAGGAGCACCATCGCACTGAGCACGCACCACCCAAGAATGGTTACAAAATGAGATTCCTCGCTTCATTTCCAGGGCACAATGGCCACCAAAATCTCAGGAAACCAATCCGTTGGACTATAGTGTCTGGAGTATTTGGGAAAGCAAGGTTGGCACTAGAAAATACCAAAGTGTCGATCACATCAAGCAAGCGCTTCGCCCAAAATTCGTGCCAAAGGTGACCAATTTGAACACATCTATACTTATTTTAAAATTTGATGCTTTTTCCGACATTGACTTTGACTTTGTTGCAGTTTTTATCTCACCCTGTATCAGCCCAAATGGTGTGAATTCCGGAATGTACATTTCCATTTTATGGAACTCGACTCCGATATATATTTTTTGGATATAATCCTTCTCGCAGTGATATCATGCCCTCTACAGCAATGTTATTTGGTATAAAAGATTAAAATGTCTCCGTCAAATTTATATTAGTTCCTTCTGAAACCAGACTATAACTGCTCTAAAGCCAAATGTTTATAATGATGGTATGATCTACTTTAAATAAATTCTTTTGTTCCGGGAGCTCTACTAAATATGCATAGTGAGGTAGGGTGTCATATAGTCGGCCCCGCCCGACAGTTAAGCATTTCGAAAACTAATCATTCAATTGCTTAAGTTTTCCATTTCAGGAATTGTTATTACATCACCTTCGTTCCCAATACACTTCCTATGGTCATATTTGGCATTTGGTTGGGTAAAAAGTATGCAGGAGTTTTCGATTTAGCTTCCATTATATCTTTCAATTGCTTTCATACAAAATATCTCTGGTGTAGGACACCATATAGTTAATTTTACCTGACTCTTTTTCTCTTCTCTTGAAACGATAATTGGAATCGAATCACCTGTTCTTCAAATCTCATCTCAGTCGCCAAATCAGTCGTTATTTATTCGATATGATTCAGCGTATACTTGAAAAAGAACTTCTTGCCTAAAACCGTATGCAAGAAATACGCATTGCATTATCTACGACGTTTTGTTTCGTGAGTCGAAAATTGCTTGCGAACACACCCACTTTACACTTTGGACTTTATTATCCACTCCGCTCTTTGTTGTTAGCGGTGGTCGTTTAACCACTTGTCAAATATCAATTTCTGGTCAATATCTTTATATCGAAAAATAACCTTTAAACGTTGTATATTTCCTTTCAAGACGCGAGCTGATAACAGGCCATAATTGGCTTGGCAAAAAAATTATCACCCCACTTGAAGGTATTTTTATTGCCTGAAATGAATGTCAGCGCGTAGTTTGAAAATGAAAAAAAAAAAAAATGTTTAATAATAATTATTAAAAAAAATTCATGCTAATATTACTTAAAACATGTTCATGACATCTCTATGATCACACGACGTTCATGTTTTTGTTTTTTTTTTTTTTTTTTGGTTAAGTTGTCTGTGGTATTTTCGTTTTGTTTTGGTCGGGTTGCTTCATCTTAGAGACTGCTGGCTGGAGGCGATTTTGTGACGACTCAGAATTGGCAATGAGACAATATTTAAAATTCAAACACTTGTTGTACAAAAACAAATTCGACCGACAAAAAGAAAAAAAAACACAGGTAGTGATAGTTAATCAAATAAACAAACAAAGAGAACGAAATTTAAATAAAGTAAACCATTTCATGACATGATGTCCCTTAAAACATTCCGCTGTGAAATGTTTGAATATAATTTCAAATAGGTATGTTTTTTTATTTAAATGCCAGCAGACAATAATTAAGAAAAGATAATGAAATTCAGCCCCAACATTTCAGAAGCAGAAGCGTGCGTGTGCTTGTGTTCTTATGGCGTGGCGTGTTGGGTGTCTGCGACGGCAACACATGTGAAAAATAGGCGAAAATCGACAATGCTCTCCAAATATATAATGGCATAGTTTACACTATCCGATTGGAAATCTCCAATTTGTGGGTATACGAATGAATGGAAAATTCCAAAAAATTGTTGAGTGAAGTAAAAATTTAAGTTCCACCCGAAAAGCTTATTAAAAATTGCATACACACTTAAGAGAAAATAATTAAAAATGGCGGCTAATCACTTTAAGAACTTTTTACAAGACAAATTTCCTAGGTAAAATATAGTAGCTTATGATTGGATGATTGCACCTAAAAAAAGAAAACAAACAAAAATGGTTGCGATCGAATGCAATCCAAACCAAACGGTATCCAAACAAAAAGTCTAGTTTTATAAATCATCACAACTTTCGAATATGTATACAATTTTAAGATTAACAAATTTAGAAAAAAAATATTTTTGATTTTTTTTTTTTCAGTGGGAAGAACTTATTGATCTAATAGCAACAGAATATACGTTTGTTTTAATATGAACTGGGCAGATTTGAGTGAGTTACTTAGTAGTTTTGGTTTAAAGAATAACAATTTGAGCAACTAAAATAAAACAAGTATAAATACAGTAAGTACGACCTATCTGTCACAGGTTGTAGTAATATTAGGAACTTCAAAATGGGAATTTCAAACAATGTGGGTGAATATTGTACCTAATATCGTCAAAATACCGAATATAGGGAAGTACTGAAATATGGGGCTTACATGAAGACCTGGACCTGCATAGAAAATTTTCTGTCATATACTGTAGTTCCCATTACGAATTCTTAATACGAAATTTAAAACAACTCCGTTGAATAATGTCGCCAAAATCATAAAAATACCGAATATTGGGAGTTAGCGTTATATGGAGGCTATACGAAGACGTGGGCCTGTATACGAAATGTCATAGCTTTAGAATTCGCAATGGGTACTACATTGCGAATTCTAAATACGAAATTTTAAAAAACTCCGATGAATAATATCCCTAAAATCGTCAAAATATCGAATATAGGGGGGTACCGTTGTATGTGGGCTCCAGGGGGTAAAGTGCTTAGAAACAAATTCTAGTATGGATTTTTAGACAATTCCATTGAAAAATATAGCTAAAATCATTAAAATACCGAATATTGGGAGGTACTGACATATGGGGCCTATACGATATCGTGAACCTATATAGACAATACTCTTCCAGGGGGCAAAGTACTCTGAAGGAACTCCTTTTGTGGATTTTCAACAACTGATCTGTGCAAAATTTTAGCTTTGTATCTTAATTCATTTTGAATCTAGCGTGATTACAACGGACAGACTTATATACTTCGTTATGTCTAAATTATTATTTCGATGAGTTACAAACGGAATGTCGAACTTAATATACCCTCTATACTATATATGGGGAGGGTATAAAAAAACAAAATGAATTTGATTTCAGGCTGCGATTGCAGCTACATTTTTTCTGGCTAAAACTCTGCATCCTTCCTAGAAACAAATCTGTTACAGAATCCTATGATTGATAAAGAATATATAATTCTTTGATCACATCATCGAAAGGGGCTTCTTAACCAAGTTTATGTATAAGCAGTACAATAATATTGGTTTACTTGCAGCATTTGTAGCCAAAGATTCGCTTTTTCGCCATTTGTATTTTATCGAAGTACTATATTGAAGATATTTGCTATCCTTTAATTTTGTTGGCTTTACCAAAAAAAAAAAAAAAAAACCGTTTGAAAACCCCTATTAAAAACAAACTCAATTTTCCCTCAATGTCTTCATCAGTCACATGCCAAAAGGTATTTTGCCAAAAATCTGCTCGTCTAAACGCACCACAATCGACAACGGCAAAAAAACAATAATAAAAGATGAGAAAAAAATTAACAATTTTTTTTTTTTGATAATCACTATTAGTTATCAACAAATTCCGTTCGGTTCGATTCGAACTGGGCAAACATAAAATTCATTTATGCCGCGAATTCACAACAATTAGTCGGTCGTAGTAAACGAAAGTGACAAGTCGTGGTGGTTGTATTTCGAGTAGAGAGCGAAGTGAGTGTGCCTGCGAACTTGGTTTGGCTTATTTTTTCCATCATTTTTTTTTGTTTTGCTTCGTTCAAAGTTTAAAACGACGTCATAACCGTTGCGACTAAGAAATAGCCAATCGGCCAATCAGGCAACAAGTGATTGTCGTTGTTGTTTGTGTTTTTGTTGACCCGTAATAGCCGGCTAGTGAGCTTGCATTTAAACAGCGATCAGTGAAGCTGAGAACGCGAACAAGATCAGTGATTTTTAGTGCGAAAGAAAGGAAAACCGGAAAATCGTCGGAATTTTCGAACCGAATCAAGTATGTCGAAAGGCAACGAATTTTCTTTGTCCTTTGTCGTAACATTTCCTGCCGATCATGAGTTTGTTTCCATGTCGCTAAATATATTCTTGTGATTTTGACTCAATCCATCATGAATAATATAATTAGAATACCCAGTAATAATTACTGGTAGTTGATAAAGTTCGCACACAAGGAGGTGGTGGTGGTGGAGGTCGTGATGGTGATGATGCATAACACCAACCAATGCCACAATCAGACACCCGTGAAGTTTGTCTTTGAACACACACACATACGAAGAGAAACCCCTCGAGTGATGGCCAATCAATCATGTCCCGTAAGAAACTGACAAATGCCGGGAATTTTTTTGCGCCATAGATAACAGCCATGGGAGCGTTCTTTCTTTCTTTCTTTTTTTTTTGGTTTAACATTCGCCTTGCCCTGAAATTTTATTCAAAACAAAAAAATTACTATCGGTAGTGGACTTATTTATTATCTGTGGCCAAGAAACTGAAACAGCAAAAAAACAAAAACACTTGAGTGCTCCCATATTTACATGTTGCTGATATAGATATGGACGACGACATGTTGTGTCCAGTGCCAAAGCGGGGAGAGCTCGCAAAAATTGTACAACAACGCAGACATGTCGAGTGGGCCAAATGTCAACAAGTGTTTGAAAAAACAGCAGCATCGACAGCATAGAGCAAAGTACGGGAAGGGCTGACTTAAATATTGGATGTCTCATCTCCGTTGGGAGTATATCTGCATCCGTTGCGTATTGTTGTGGTTCGGAGACAACCTTGAAACGCTTAACAATCGGTGTGTAACACCAAAAAAAAAAAAACACACACACACACACAAATTTGGTGAGTGTGGCCAAAATCGACGACGAAGAAGAACAAGAGAAGAAAGTAAACGCGTGGTTCTAATTCTATCGGACAAATGTTCAGTTCTGCTCTCTTAATACTATGACGCATTCGAAATGAAAAAAAAAAAAAAAAACAATACAACAACAATACATTTAATTATATGAAGTTAAAACAAAGCGTGCTACTGTTTGTTGTGGTTATTGTTGTTGTTGCAAAATCAAAACACGATAATTATAAAACGTAATTATTTTGAACAACCTCATCAACATCATCATCGTCAGATGGCAAAAGCGGACAAATCCATATGAAATATTGAAAGCGGAGTGCTAGAATCGAGTGCACAACGAGGGAATTTTTTAGGGAATGTTGAAATAATGTGTGTTTCATCAACGGCAATTCACGTCTGTTCTGCGGAGAACAATTAGAACTTAATGTCACTAAAAATAAATAATAATTAAATACATTTCATGAAACGAATTTGTCAAAATAACCACAATCACCAAGTGATCGAACTTTAAACAAATATACACCATTGCCATTATCAAAATATATTCGTAAAAAGTTTTAAGATTGAAGAAGGTGCTTTTCTCGTACGAGAGGAGTCGTCTTAAAAAATAATCGTGCTAAATTGTGTTCTTGTTGTGGCTAGAATTCTAAAGAATGAAAATTGAATTTGAGTTAAAAGAAAAATGTGAGTGAATGCTATCCGAACTGTGTCAAGCTGAAACAACGATATTGGATTAGTAACTCAAAGTTTAGTGGATTAGTATAGAGCGTACTTTTGGGAGTCGAAACGGGTTTGCAGCCAACGAAAGTAAATAAAAAAGTCATTTTAATGCAGGAAGGCCGTGGTATTTTCAAAACTTTGTACGACCCTTTATAACAATTTTTCAGTTTACAGGGTTGCCCATATTTGACGGACCCATGACTCTTTGGGCCCATTCCAATCGACGAGGCTTGTCCGCAGGCAACATTCTTTGCGTCAATTGAATTTTGTACGGGAACAAATGCAAAACAATGCGAATAATCCGTTGTAAAGTGGACCGAGCCATGCCCAACTGCTGAGAACGGCGTTTTTGGGATGTTCTGGGGGACCTCTAAACACTGGCTCGTACGGCAGCGATATTCTCGGCCGATCGCCTTGGTCGACTTTTACATGGCCTCTTCGGATTAGAAAGAGCCTTACCAGTCGAAAATTTTTCGTATAAACGCTTAATGGTGTTCTTAGAAGGCGCACTTCTCACATTTTTTAATGTTTTAAAAGCACGTTGAGTTTTCACAATTGACTTCTTCTGTTGAATGTAAATTTCAACCATTTCGCGTGGCGTGTATTGGTTCATGGTAAAAGTCTGCTTGGACTGACGCTTCAAACGCGGTATGTCATTAAGCGATGTGACATATCTGTCAAATGTTATGGCGTTGCCAGATGGGTCCGTCGAATATGGACAACCCTGTAATTTTTTTTCTTCAAAAATTTTCTTCAAAAATCGTGTTTATGGGGTATGTTGATTCACTATTGCTAGGGTACTATTTTCCAAAAAAAAAAAACTCTCAATCAAACAAAATTCTAGATCTGTTAGCTATCCAATACCAAAGGTACACAAATAAGACCGTCTTACTTCTATACAATATTTAATACTTTTTCAGTTTTGACTTCTGTATGATTATTCAAATTGTTGACCCTCTATAAAGTAGGTTCCGAAGGAATGGATCAATATAGGCAATCTCGTATCGGACCTAAATATGTAAATAAATATTGCAACGTGCCAGGTTCAGACTATACTCCTTTATTTTATATGAGATATGTGATAATTTTTAGAAAATGTTAAAACGTGCATGAGGTACCAGATATAATCGTCCGAAGTATTTCATTTTCATACTTCATCTAATGGGCCCAAGCAAGCTTGTAGGCGTCTTCGGTGAGGAGAATCGTTTTTGGTTCGACTAAAATTTCACCCAGCTTCAATTGAAGACAGTTTCATTAGTCTCGTGTGTTTTGGAAATAAAATTTGTGTATGGACTAAAAATTACTCTCGTGTGAATTGGGCCATACAGATTAAAATATGGGTTTGGGCAAAACTACAAGACAATCGAACATTTATATCCAATTTTATGCGAAATCATAAATTCCATATTCATATCAGGTTTTTGGTTGAGAGAAATATTTAGATAGAGCAAGTTGTAAAGTCTTTGCCAGATAAAATTATTGAAAAATGTTACCCTTCGCGGGTAAGGTACCAGAAAGGTGTGTTAGCAAAAATGTTTGTTTGTGTGAAATTTGAAGAGAGTTGGATGCTTATTTCGCGTTCTTTGACCGTTTTGTTTTTCAAAATCTTGAACCCTGTGTGGGGGAGGTACTAGAAGATATGTTCTAATCTCTACCAGCTTTATAAAAGATCTTGTGTTTATGGAAAGATTGAGAAGTACCAAGTCTAAATGGAATCAGATGTTAATTTCGCGTTTTGTGAACTTCAAGGATATTTAAAAATTTGTGTTGGTAAAAATGATGTGTGAAATATTAAGAGGATCGGATGCCTATATTAGATTTTATAATCGTTTTGCTTATTCAAAACTTTGACCCTTGCAGAGGAGGTACCAGAAAGATGGTCCGATGTCTATCATCTTTATAACAGATCTAGTGTTGATAGAAATATTGAGATGTATCAAGTCTGAATGGAATAGGATGTTGACCTCGCGTTTTATGAGATTCATGGGTATTAAAAAATGTTGACCCTTTGTGGGGGAGGTACCAGAAGGATTGGACCGATATTGTCCACCTGACCTAGTTCAAATGCTAATATAAGGATTTGCTAAGTTAGAGCAAAATCAGATTATTCATTCTCTCGTTCTGTGCAATATTTTTTTGAAAATATTGACTTTTTGTGTGGGAGGTACCAGAAGGAGTGGACCAATATTGCCCATCTTCGAACTCGATCTAAGTTTGACAATAATAATTTTTAAAAAAAAAAATCATAGTTTCTCAATTTTATCAAATTCGTACATAAGCGATTGTCTGTAGAAACCATAGATATGATCTGAAAACATTGGCAATTAATTACATTGATTTATGACTACTTGACGACAGAGACTTGTACTCACAAATGAAATAATCTGAAATTTAATGGAATTTTCCTCAAAAATATGTTATGCTCTAACTTAATGTCTATAATGATTATTATTCGTTCGATTGAGATTGTGGTACGGATAAAGAAATTAGGAAACAGCTTTGGCTATATATTGAAGTGATCAAGTTTTAACAACAACCACTTAAGTTGAGACAAAAATGAAATAAAAATTC